ATTTTCTGTATTGATTCTCGACTTTGCAGCTTAGGCCTAAGTAAATCAAAAGAAATCTACAATGGCAGAGAAATCACTTGTTTTATCCCCCACTAAGTGGAGACAATTGATCGTAATTCTTTCGATAGACAGACAGACACACATACGGCCGACAATTGTGACCTACTAAGATTTGCAATGGGACGTCGTAATGCTACGGCGCATACAAAGATAAAGTAGTCAATAATAAAAAAGATTGTAATTGACAGTAGGCGGCAAAAATAATGCAAAAAATGGCAATTGCCAACTTTGGAGAAGTAGGGAACTTGATTTAAAAACGTATGTGGCAAAATATATCTGTTTCTTCTAGGACCCCTGATTGGCAGTTGTGGTGAAGGTACTAGGAGCAGATAAACGATTTAGACTATTCATGGAGTTGGTCTCAGGCCTCAAATGAGTGTGGTAGGTTTTTAAAGTATGAAGAGAAAAACATTGAATGTATATCATCAACACAAGAGTAGGATCTAAAATTTGCGAAGACAAATGACAATTAACTCTCAACTACCACCAGGAGTGTATTTGCTTGGTTTGGTAGTGCAACTCTGTCGGAGTAATGATAGTAGAATAATTTCTTCCTACTGAAAACGAATTGTCCGGAACCTTTCAGTATCAGTCGATTTTGCCGACAGATGTATACCCCTCAGCCTTGAGTTATGATTATTCAAACTGTTGACTCTTTTGTGGGGGAGGTTCCAAAGCAATTGGCCAATATTGACCAATTCGTATCTGACCTAAGACTAATATAAGTATTACAACGTGCCAGATTTGGACTATATCGACTGCATCCTATACTTTTTATGAGATATTTGCAAATATTTGGAAAATGTGGAAATATGCTTGAGGAAGCCGATATAGCGGATCAAAGTATACTATTTTCATACTTCATCAAATACAGATAAAAATATTGGCTTGTGCAAAATTTTGAAGGAAATCGAACATTTATATCCAATTTTATAGGAAATTCATAGCAGATTTCTGGTTAAGAGAAATATTTAGATATAGCAAGTTGTAAAGAATTGCCGACTTGTTTCGTATGTTATGGCAGATATAAGTATTGGAAATCTTCAAAACAGATCTTGCGTTAGCACAAATGCTGTGTGTGTGAAATTTGAAGAGAGTTAGATGCTTATTTCGATTTCTTTGAACGTTTTGTTTTTCAAAATCTGGAACCCTATGTAGAGTAGGTACCCGAAGAAATGGCCCGATCTCTACCAGAGAGAGATTTTGTGTTAATGGAAATATTGAAATGTACCAAGTCTAAATGGAATCGGACGTTATTTTCGCGTTTTATGGATAATCAAAATTTTGAACCTTTTTTGCGGCAGGTACCAGAAGAGTGGACCAATATATCTCATCTTCACACTAGACCTTGGGTTAATAAAAATATTGTGATGTCTTTAGTTTGAAGAGAACCAGATGCTTATTTTGGATTTTATTATCGTTTTTGTTATTTTAAACTTTGACCCTTTGTGGTGGAGGTACCAGAAGGAATGGTCCGATCTCTACCATACTTATAACCTATCTAGTATTGATGGAAATATTGAGATGTGCCAAGTTTAAATGGAATTGTATGTTAAGTTCGTGTTTTATGAGCTTCATGAGCATTCAAAATGTTAATCCTTTGTGGGGGAGGTACCAGAAGTTGTGGACCATCTTCAAACCAGGCCTTGGGCTAATAAAAAAATTGTGATTTGTGTAATTTGAAAACAAACCGACTCTCACGTCACATTTTATCAGAGTTATAATTTTTCAAAATTTTGACCTATTGTAGAGGAGGTACTTGATGGAGTGGACCGATATTGTCCATTTTCACACCTGGCCTAGCACCGACGCGAATATTACGATATACAAAGTTGGAGTAAAATCGAATAATCTTTTCACTTTCTGTGCAGTAAATTATTTGAAAATGTTGAAATTTTTGTGGGTGAGGTACCAGAAGGAGTGGGCCGATATTGCCCATCTCCGAACTCGATATAAGTTTGACAATAATATTACGATGTACCAAGTTTGGATCAAATCGGATGCTTCCTTCGAGAATTACCGTGCGAGCCAGTCAGTCAGACAGACCGACGAACATCGAGAGATCGACTCCTAATGTCCTGAAACGGATTTGGTCCAAAGAGACCTAGGGTCTAAAACCGTCGATGAGGCACGTTCTGGCCGTATCAAATGATATACATGGTGAGATGAAAAAACTGCAACCAAATTCAGACTGCTTTCATTTTATTGGATTCAAGACTAAAAAAGAGCTAAAGAGTTGCTTCGATTGGCCGAAAGTGGTGAACTGCCGAATTTGGTTTTCTTCGATGAGGAAACATTCGTTGTCCAGCAGTTGGTAAACAAATAAAATGATCGTGTTTACTTGCCAAAGAGGTCAGCTGATAATGTGCACCGACTTCGGTTGGCCACCAGAACTCAAGCGCCGGCTATGGTGATGTTGTGGGCCGCCATAACAGCCGAAGGTCGCTCTCCGCTCGTATTAATCGACCGTGGCATCAGAATAAATGCCCAATATTATCGCGAAAATGTATGTATGAGGGTGTATTAAAGCCTTGGCCACACAAACATTTCCAACGGGACTCAGCACGATCGCACTCAGCACGCGCCACCCAAAAATTGCTACAAAATGAGATTCCTCCCTTCATTTCCAGCGCACAATTGCCACCAAAACCCCCGGATACCAATCCGTTGGACTATTATGTCTGGAGTATTTTGGAAAGCAATGTTGGCACTAAAAAATACCCAAAGTGTTGATCACCTCAAGTAAGCGCTTCGCCGGGAATGGGCCAAAATACCGCAAAGCACCTAATATTGCGTGTGACGGTTTCATTGGCCGTTTGAAGGCCATAATTCGTGCCAAAGTTGACCAATTCGAGCAAATCTAAACTTATTCTAAAATTTGATGCGATTTCCGACATTTTTTGCGTCCATTTAATAAAATTAAAAAAATTTAAAAATTATGGCGTTTGATTTTGTTGCAGTTTTTTATCTCACTCTGTATACCTGCAAACTTTCGGGTACATATCTGCCTCTGATACATTTTTAAAATAATCGTCTATGGGGCACTTAAGCTTGGCTAGTTCCCATATTTATATCATGCCGCATAAATTTCGATTGTCCACCTTTAAAGAATTTCGTTGTTTGGGTATGGATGTACTGAACCCAGCCCCATTGGTACAACAAAATTCCATCAGCTGGAACAACATTTTCAGGTGTATGGGAGTGATATTGTTATTCAGAATAAATTGTTTGAGTTGCTTTTCGTTATTCTACAACAGTATTTTATCAATAAAATAAATTCAAAAATATTATTTAAAAATACACCTTTAGATTCCATCTATCACATATCTAGTTCTCTAGAGCTACTGATAACATTTTCCAAATTATTCCCCAGAAGTCATCACATATTCTTAGCACACAAGATAAATATTGAGTGTTCTGAAATTAGTTCTTGCAATTTCCTTCCAAAATATCTAAAATCTAGCCACCATGGCACAACAAAATCCCATCTACTAATCGCATTAATGAATAATATCATCAGTATTGCATTGAAATTGAAACTCAGAACCACTTGGTGGTGTGTGGTTGGGGGTGGCGTCGTCACTCTTTAACAACAATATTTTTTTTATCAATGAAATAAATTCAATAATATTTTATATATAAACATATGGTAGGTAGGTACCTCCCTCTCCCCTATCTATATATCTTTGTGTTTTTCCATTGTTTATTGTTATAATTATAATATTTTTAGTCCATTTATTGTTGATTCTGTAAAGAAAATATAGCTCAAGGAAAACGATATCAATAGCAAGACAAACAAAAAACCAGAAAAAAAACGAAAACATAACGATCGCCAAAATGTAGAAATAATACAAAGATAGAGAGACAGGTGGGTTGTCTGGAAAAGAACAGAACTTGCACAACAAAAGTCGGGTGAGAATTTATGACACTTCCTAAAGGAATGTGAATTAACGAACAAACGTACACACACCCCAACGCTCACAAGAGAGATAGAGGCGATATTTATAGAACCGCTGATCTTTTTGCACCATCGCATATATACGGAAATTATCAAGTTCAGTTCACGAAAAAAAAAATATAACAACATTCTATGAAAACGTTTTGGCTGTGTGTGTGTGTGGGTGGACGACTAGTACCAAGTAAATGCAAAAAATTATAATTGTTATTATTAAGACACAAAAAAATAAAAAAAATAAATTGTGGTAATAAATTTTGCAAACGAAAAACAATGTTGTGGCTCAAAGTCACTTGGGTTTGCAGCAACTCGCCATAGCCGGCTGATTGGCTGGCTGGCTGGCTTGTCGACCGTCTATTCATATGGAGTTTAGACCTACATACTGTGTGTATTTCTGTCATTCATTCATTTATTCTTCAACACGGACGGGTTTCTATTAGTGTCATTTACATTTGCGCTGACCATTTTGGCTTTTGAGAGGCGCAGCACATATGGACGCAACTACATACATTCATTCATGGGTTTTGTCCATAAATTATACTTGCACTTTTCAAGCTTTTCTATATCATATTATGGGAGGGGTGGGGAGGCTCTATTTCACATGCTATACATATATGAAGTACACACAGGGCAACCAACTAATGACGAAGGCTATAGACCAGCAAGCGTCAGACGACGACGACGAAGTGTGATGGACGACGGAACGAGCCGTCTCTTTTTTTGTTAATCGGTCAATGTTCGCTTGTTAATATTTTTATTGTCGTTTATCTTTTGCCTACTATTTGCCTAGCCTATGAATATAAAAGTGCACAATTAAATGGCCTGCAAAATGGTTGGAGGGGTAACAAAGCTGGCGGTTGGTCAATCATTTTCCACAAAGGTAATTTGTTGTAGCTATGCAAAAGGGGAAAATGTTTGCACTACAACAAAAACAAAATATAAAACAATAAATCACCAATTCAATCATTCATGCAAATGTACTTACCAAATCATTAGCAATCTTTTGTTGTGGACCCCAACCGGATCATTTGTGTGTTTGATTGTTGAATGCAGACAATTGACAACTTGCGATATCTGTAAGAATTGGGAACAGGCGTTTGTTTGCTTGATTTAGTTTGTCTTGAAATGTCTACAAAAAAATTTAGGATTAGAATTGATTGGCGTTTGTGATTCCCTCGTACTACTTGCTGCTGATTCCCTGCATATGTACGTATGTATGTATGAGATCAGGCAATGTGTGGGGGAATTATTAGTTATCTGGCAATATTTTGCTGAATTACTGTTTTATGCGTTTGCATTTATATATGGGTATTTATTTGCTTGCCGAGCGAACAAACGAACGGACGAATATCTACAAAAATCAGTGGTGAAGAAAATGATTAATTGCATAGAATTTTTTTTTTTTATTTCGTCACTTTTATTTCTTGCTATTTTCTTCGTTATGAGACATCAGGAAAATCGATTTTTTTCATATTCTACTCATTTTCCGTGTCTCGTCGGTCCTGCCTCACAATCCACCACTCTCTCTATTTAGGTGCTGCTGCTGCTCGTTGGCTGGCTTGCCTGCTTGCTGGTGGCTGCTGGTGTGTATAATTCAAAGTAGTGAGGTGAGGGGGAGAAAATATTCACACAATTTTGCACTGCAATTATTTTTTCTTTTAATTTTTTTGATTGAAAAGCAAATTTTTTCCAACAAATTTGTTGCTAAAAATTTCCTACTTTTTTCTTTCTTTCTTTTATTTTCTTGCAAATTTTATTAATTTTCGAATCTTTCTTTTTCTGCTTGCTTGCTACTTTTTTTCTTTTCTCTTTCTTTTCGATTTTTTCTTTCTGGGGCACACACACAATTTTTTCTTTCTTTCTCCAAGTAACTTTTTTTGGTTAAAATTGCTTGCTGTTTGAAAAAAATCAAATTCTTTTGCAAATTTCTTCAATTGATTTCAATTTACACACTTTTCGTATCCAGTTTTCACCACCAATAGAATTGCATTGCAATTTATTATGGAATTAATTTTAAAATTAAAATTCTTTTCTATTTTCTGCGTTTTACAAGAGCTGGCTTCGAATAGGGATCTATAACTCGTTTGTGGGCCATTCACCTAATCGTCTTTTGTGTGGTGTGCAAGTGAATCGGTTATCGAATGTGTTATCAAACAATCGAGTGGGGTGGGAAAACATCAAAGTCGTTTATGGTTTCAAAGGGATTGTGGCAACATGACGAGCTGAGGTATCAAGTTTAAGTAATGTTTACATTGCATTGATTTTGAAGAACTTGATCAGTTTTGCCTTGGAAAAAAAGCAGTCTTTTGATGGAATTAATCGCAGAAGAACTTTAAGAGACAGGAAAGGCTTGAAATCTTTTTGTTTTTAATTTTTAGCATGGTTCCTATAATTAAAGAATCTTTTATTGATATGTTGAACGTGACTGCACTTCAATCATAAATCAAAACCTAAATCTTGATTATGTCGTGAAAATAGCATCTTTGAAGAAAAACGGTCCATTGATGCCACCAACCGAAAAATCCACTAAACTGTACCTTGGCTTCTGAATGCTTTTCACTCCAAAAGCAAAAATTCTGCTTATTAACGTTCCAATTGAGCAAAAAATGAGTTGGAAGAAGCGCGCGATGAACTTTCATAACAGAATTCGATTTTTGATAAAAAAAAAAAACAAAGATTTTTTTTACTTCTCCGCAGCATCAGAGAAATCTACCAACCATAATCATGGATGTCTTCCACAACAACGCCACACAGTTTGAGGATGTAGAGAAAACTACCCCTCGGCCATGTTTGAAACGTTGGAAGATCTACGATTGGCTTGTCCAGAACTAAAAAATTAAAGTCTTTACTACTATAACCGATTCTCCCTTTATGATATCAAAAAAAAAAAATTTGCATAACTAGTACATTCTTGCAGATTCTGGAAGGTTTGCAATTTTCTCGCTATCTCAAAGGGAAAATTGATTATCCTGGTAAAATGTATGTTGATGTATGTTATGCTATGTTCCAGAAATGCGAGAATTGCTCTGTTCCAGAACCGCAAGAATGATTCCGATTTCTTCTTTATAATATCGAAAAAAATTGCGAAAATTGAATATTGTTACAGGCTTTAGAACAGAGCTATGTGTAAACGTAGTGTTAATCCATCTCCTGTTCATGGTAGTAGAATACAGGTAGGTGTATCAACGCTTGTGAATATTGATATGTCAAAATGTTTAAAATGTTTTTTTTAATAAGTAGATTTGTATATATTTTCTTATTCGACGCCAAGGATGCTGTCATTTATTTTTACAAATTTATTTTTACAAATTTTAATATTTTTTATTCAAAAAAAATAGCTTGACAGTTCGTGTGTCGATGTGACTACCTGTATTATTCTACCATGTATTGTACCATATATTCAAATATTCCATTTCATTTAATATTTCTCTATGTCAAGTCAATTACCGATAGTTTAATGTGTGGCCCGCAGTCTGTACCAAACTGTTTGCTTGCTCCGATTACATGCCATCGATAACGTGATATCGATTCGTTTGTTGCATCTGTGCTTTCTTAACAATCTTCCTCTTTGTTTTCCATTCTCATCATTAGTTTGTGAATCACTTCTCATTTCTCGTATTTGTTGCTTTTGGGGAAAAAAGAAAGAAAAACTACACGGAAAATTACTGAATTTTGAGAATACAACGCAGCAGATACATTCGAGGACGACGAATAGAAACAACGATCTCTCACACATCGATGTATTCCAGTTTATGTTAAAAATAAATTCCAAAAAAAGAAAGAACGCAAACAAAGTAACAAGTAAAAAGCGTTGTGTTGAGTGAGTGGTTGGTTGGTTGCTGAGTGTGTGTGTGTGTGTGCGTTGGGATGTCGTCTTCATTGTCAGCATCAGCATCGGCTGAAAATGTGAACATCGGTGGTGGTGGCAGCGGCGGAGGTAGTGGTTCAGCTGGTGATGGCTCCTCACAGGACGGGGCTGCACCTAGCATGTGCCTGGAATTGGCCTTGGAGGGTGAACGATTGTGCAAGGCTGGTGACTGTCGAGCAGGTGTGGCCTTCTTTCAGGCAGCCATTCGTGCAGGAACCGATGACCTTCGCACCTTGAGTGCGATCTATTCACAACTGGGCAACGCCTATTTCTATTTGGGCGACTATTCCAAGGCAATGCAATATCACAAATTGGATTTGACGTTGGCTCGCTCCATGAACGATAAGCTGGGCGAGGCGAAGTCATCGGGTAACTTGGGCAACACTTTCAAGGTGATGGGTCGCTTCGAAGAGGCTGTCATGTGTTGTGATCGCCATTTGACATTGGCTCGACAATTGGGCGATAAGTTGTCCGAGGGAAGGGCCCTCTACAATTTGGGAAATGTCTATCATGCCAAGGGCAAACACATGGGCCAGCGGAATCCGGGCGATTTTGGTGATGATGTTAAGGAGGCCTTGACCAAAGCTGTGGAATATTATCAGGAAAATTTGAAATTAATGCGGGAGCTGGGCGATCGTGGAGCCCAGGGTAGAGCTTGTGGTAATTTGGGTAACACCTATTATCTGTTGGGTAAGGTAGAATAATACGAAAATGTATCTCATATTTCATGAAAGTTTGTTTATTGCAGGTGACTTCCAGGCCGCCATTGAACATCATCAGGAGCGCCTGCGCATTGCCCGAGAATTTGGTGACAAAGCTGCCGAACGACGGGCGAACAGCAATTTGGGTAATTCCCACATCTTTTTGGGACAATTTGAAGAAGCTGCCGACCACTACAAACGTACCCTGGCCTTGGCCATTGAATTGGGTGAACGCGAGGTTGAGGCCCAATCATGCTACAGTCTGGGCAATACCTATACCCTGTTACGTGAATTTGCCACCGCAATTGATTACCATCAACGGCATTTGGGTATTGCTCAAGAGCTGGGCGATCGTGTGGGGGAGGCACGAGCCTGCTGGTCATTGGGTAATGCCCATTCGGCCATAGGCAATCATGAAAAAGCTTTAAAATATGCGGAATCACATTTACATTTGGCCAAAGAATTACAAGATCCAGTGGGTGAGAGTACTGCGCGTGTGAATATTGCCGATTTGCGTAAGCTGTTGGGTATGCCCGAGGTGGCACCATCACCCGTCGACGATGATCGTTCGAGCAACACCGACCTATCGCAGGGCAGTGATGTACAGTCAGATGGTTCGGAAAACTCTCAAGGACGTATGGTAAGTTGTAAAAGAAAACGTTTCACCAAAATATTATAAGGGATGAAGAGGAAAGGCTGTCGTTCATTTTAAAAGATAAACTGGACTGGAACATTTGTAATTAACTTTACACAAGTGTATCTAAGATCTTTACATAAGGGCACCTTAATCCTCAGTGCTGATGCATCATTCATCATTGTGTGGAATTTGGAAATCCTACTTTTAAAATACTGTGCCAGGTACTTTTCGAATGGGGGTTGATTTGGCGGGGCACAGATGCAGTGAAATGCGTTGGACAGATAGAATGTAACCGGTTTTTGTAGGCGGCCGACTATCTTCAGTTGCAAAAGATGGCTGTGGACTTCGAGGACGCCATATATACTGTACTGGTTGTTGTTGTTGACTTCATTAGTAAGAGTATCCATCAGAATCTCCTGATAGGCTTTTTATGCAGAGGCGTTCTTATATTGTTGGACCTCCCTCATTAGATCCTGTAGGTGCTTCGTGACACACCTGAGTGGGGGAGTTTTATCCACCACATAATGGTTAGGTGACTCCCAGGTTAACACCCAAGCAGGTACTGCAAACAAAGTATATGATAACGAGGATGCACCCTGTTGCAGTTTTTAGGGCAGTATTTTGATAAGCCTGCGTACTCCCGCACTGAGTGGCATTAGTATTCGAAGACCACACTGGACCCTCACTCTTTATGAGAGCTCAACAAGCACTCCAGCTAGGGTCTTGAGGACTTTGTTTCTATTTGTTTCGATTTATTGCAGATATCGGTACCAAGGGCTTGGGGACCCCCAGGATCTTGGGGTAGTTTTTGGTCAGAATAGCCTATACATTCAGCTACAGTCTAATCTTCGCAGTTTATGTAGTATAGAGTGAGGCCCTTTACTTTCCGTTTTTTTTTCATTCCCTGCCTTGGATGTAGACTCTGAGTTTCCTGAGAAAGGTGTTCAATCTAAAATGTTGTCAAAGAGGGGGCCTGACAATATGATAGTGTAAACATTCGCATCCGAATATCTGTTCCATTGAAGTTTATAGAGGTTACAGATACGAAGAGGTTTCAATACCCAAATATTGGGTAGTCTTGCGATATTAAAACTGAATTTAGACCACCTTTAAGACATATCTCTCTCGAGCTCTGAGAAAAAGTATGACCTGACGTCTGTTGCACTTACCGAGCCGAGCTTTCGATGCTCTTACTCCAGATGAAATCCCAATGTTGATGTAGAAGCTACTGGATGAATCAAGAATTGAGTATTCTACAAAAGGTGAGTCATCCTATGAGTCCCGATGGCTGGAAGTTGGAAAAGGGAAGTCCCGCTACTGAAGCCAAGCAAGGATGGCGCCCTCTTTCAGGGCGAAATTACTTTGTTCACCAGTAGCAGAGACGCTACAGTCTTTTTAACTTCCTCCATATGAGAGCCTCCCTTCTGCACATGTCGCCGGTGCGACAGGCTAGTCGTGGAGATTTGTTAAAGGTATTTGAGGAAGTTAAATGTCTTACCCTCCGGTCAAATTTGAAACTTTGGGTCGTAAACTACATGTTTGGGAGCCAATCGTGCGTCGAATTTAGAAAAAAGAAGTCTACGATCCGAAGAATGTGAAAAAAAGACTCCATTGTAGGGTAATATCATCAGGAGACTTTTAAACCCCTATTTTTTCTGGAATACCACGATCCCTAGACGACGTTGGAATAATCACTTTTCCGGATAATTGTAATCTCATGATGACATTTGTGATCGGCTGAATCAGTACCTAGTTAATCTTAGCGTCTTCTTCGTTGCGAGGAATATGACAATATTCGCCATTAAATCAACGACCACACTATTCAAGACAAGGCCAACTGAGATATGGCTATCACCAAATAAATGTCGATGCCTTAATTCTGATCACCAACTACCCAAAGGACTTAGTGGTCACATTCGATAACCTGTTGAAATCGTCCGCGCATTCCACATATGTTATCGGCGCATTCCACATATGTTAAGGCTCCAACTGGCAGCAATTGGGGAGCTGATAGAGAAACTTCGGTGACATCTTATAACGCGATAGCTCGGTAAAATGTGCGACTTCGGTGTGGTCTGGCAATGTTAGTGCAACACAATGGAAGATTGCTTCCTCGTATCAACTATCGATCATCGCAATAAAAAGTTGAAGCTCCTTCCTGTTCATCAGCACAATGCAATTTAGTCGAAGCAATGCTTGCTTGGCTGTTATAAACAAAGCCATTCTATTCAACACATGGTGTATAGGCTATCTCCACCCAGATATTTGAGGAAACACCTTCATGATGTAGAGGGAGAGAAAGATAGAAATATGAGAGCCTCTAGATTAACAGGTCTGTCATGCAGGGCTGATTAATACCCACTCTGATGAAGCCGAAGAAACAATGTTCTCCTAATCACCACCTGTTGCACAGGCAATCTCCGTTCAGAACGTGTGAGGAAAGACCTTCATGATCTAAAGTGAGATGTATAGAACTGAGAAGTAATAGTATAGGAGAGAATCTCTAAATCAATGGGCCTATCAAACAAGACTGAATAATATTCATATTGGCGCGGCGGAAGAAGGAATGGTGAAATGCAGATTGAATAATAATTCTCGGAGATCAATCGTGATCCATTGTAGCAGAAGAATGATAGTTTTTTTTTCAATACTTTTGTTTGTAGGAAAACTTTTAGGGAAATCTGTAGGGAGTTTTATAACATTTTATCCCTCAACCTCTGCAACCTCTCTAATTTCTCAATTTTTCTCCATACCTACGCCAATTTCTTTTTTTTTCAGGTTCGTGTACGTCGCCAGAGTATGGAGCAATTGGATTTGATTAAAATCACACCCGACGGTAAACGACAGCAAAAACAAGATGCCAAATCAATGCGTCCGCCCATGGCCAAAGCTCAGGATGATGATTTCTTTGAATTGTTATCACGCTCCCAATCCAAACGTATGGACGATCAACGTTGTTCGATTAAAATCAATAAAAATAGTCAGGGACCAAATATTTCCGCACCCATTGCGGTGGTGGGTGGCGCTGCTGGTGCAGTGGTAAGCGGTGGCGCCAGTGGAGGAGGAGCTACTCGAAAACCATTGCAACAACACAATTCCATACAAAACAATAATGGCTTCCCGAATGGTGGTGGTGGTGGTGATGGCAGTGTAAATGGTGCTGGTGCAAATGGTTTGCCGGGACTTAAAACCAATGCTGCTGCGGCAAGTGGTGCTGGTAGTGCTGCGGCCGCTGTAGCAACTGGTAATGTCACGGCTGCTGCTCCCGCTAGTCATCCCCAGTTGTTGCGTAGCGCCACGGCCACGGAAAAAGTTGATGATGACTTTTTGGATATGTTAATGCGTTGCCAGAGCTCAAGGCTGGAGGAGCAACGTTCCGAGTTGCCAAGACCAAATGTACTCATTGATGCTGAGACGCAACCCAGAAATCGACCTGCCGGTCGGGGTACCACAGTACCGGATGAGGATTTCTTTTCGTTAATAATGAAAGTTCAAAGTGGACGTATGGAAGATCAAAGAGCAGCTATACCCATGACGCGCCGTGATGGACCTCCACACACAGGTGGTGGTGGGGGAAGCGGCAGTGGTGGCGGCGGTGGCTCAAACAAGTAAATTGTATTTACCAACAAAATTTAGATAGTCTTATATGTAATCCTTCCATTCATCTATTATCATATATATATATCTATCTTCCCTCTCCCCCTCCCTCGTTCCCATTCGATCAACAATTACATCCCTTATCTCGAAGTGATTCCATTTTATATTCACATTGCATTTTAGCTGCTTATTCTCGTTTATTGTGTGTCTCACATTTTTTACTACTACAATTATTATTATATAATTAAATTTATTTTTTTTTTAATTTTATTCTCAACTTTTACATTCAACAACAAAAAAAAAAAAAAAAAACTAACAATTTGTTTTAATATTCCACTATTTATTAGAGTAACCAAGGAACATTCGTGTTCTTTAAATTAAAACGAGAACAAAAACATAAATATTTAATAAAAAATTAAACAAATGTATTTATATATAACTATTTGCACATAAATATTGTGAAGATCGTGTAAAAAAAACCAATTGTCTTTTTTTATTTTGAAATTTTAATTTTTTAAGTTTTTTTCTTTGCAAGTTTTGTGTTGTGAAAAATTTGGTATTCAAAGCAACCTAGGTTTCTCAGGAATGTAATGAAACAAGAACTGGGTCCATGGTATTGGTTGAAATTGCTACAGACGTATTTCGGAAAAATCAGATGTGCAACCCGAAGGTGTGCTTAAGTCTTTTCAAACGAACTGATTGTTCCGCGCAAGCCACAGTTATCTGGAATAAATTAGAAAATAAGAACGAGGTTGTGAAGTTGCTCCCCCTAGCATTTTGAGTGTAGGCCAAAGTCCTCATCTTCTCGTTGGTCCCCCTAATTGTTCGCGATGTCCGAAAAATCGAGTGGCTAGTAACAGGCAAGAATGCCAACTTATATGCTTATATGCCGATATCACTATTGGCGCCATATGTATTTAATCGAAAACTCCGTCTAGTCATTAGGCACCACTGAAGCCATGAAAGATGCAAGGCCGGTATCACTTTTGTCACCAGAAGCATAGACACTTGAAGATTTCAAATGATCGTTTTCACCGAGTATTCCATTTAGTGTCACACACAAATTAACAACCAGAACATGCAGTGCGACACAGGAGGGACGTAGACAAAAATGAATTTCGGCAAAAATTCGGAAAGGCCCAAAATGCCGAAAAATAAGTTTTCCATGCAATATATACAATAATTTTTGAAAATTTATAACTTTCGGAGGGTCATGCGCTTAATTTATCAAGGGCATTTGTGGATATTGAACGTACTACCCTCCGTGCAATTTAGAAACGTTGGATCGCAAGCTAGGTTTATGGGCGTCAGCCGTACGTGAAATTCAGAAACAAGAAATCAAAGATGGTAGACCTTCCTGGCTCTCCAAAGTGGGGTGATATCACCGTAACTGTTTAACCTCCATTTTTGTGGTATTCCACGACCTCCTAATGGCGTTGTGATAATGTACTGTCGGTGGCGATGTACTGTATGGGCATTCGGACCCATTATTGATTACATTTGCATTTGGTTGATTTGGACAATCGGATCTGCGCTCCCGAACGGCCCGCATACCACAAGGCTGGGAATTGTCAACTAACCAACCGTTAGTTAGCCTCCTCAAGCCGTCCACATATGCCACATCTATCTGTGAAAAGATTATCATTCAAACAAAAGTTGTGAAGTCTCGTGACGGTAGCATTTGGAGAGGAAATCTTCCAAAGCTTATATAACGCGATAGCTCCGTTTGTGATAAAATTTGCGAACTCGATGGGTTTTTGGCAATTTGAATTTACTCACTGGAAGAGCATTCAGTCCTGCCAGAACCAGAACAGGGTGCCTCTTTATGACACCTGTCAATCACTTTCATGAGGAGTCGAATTTATTCTGGGGACACAACAATTGCTTGGGTGTTATAAGCATCGATTTTAATGTGGTCTGCCCACGTCAGTGCTATGCAATGGTAGAGTATTCAATCCTGCCAGAAAGCCGTCCATGGAAATGCAAAATCGTATCTTTTCATGACACCTGCAAATCCCCTACACAAGGAGGTATCATTCTGGGGATGCAATAATTGTGAGGGTATTATAAGCATAGCCGTCCTCATCTCCACGCGGTGGATAGGCAACCTCCGTCGAGACATATGAGGGGAGAGAGAGAGAGGTACAGAGATATAACAGAGCCTCTAGATCAACAGAGACTTAATGGTATTCACTCTAACGTGATGATAGAAGCAAAGCAGGAATGTAGATATCGCATTTTTTTTTGACTTTGCATTTGTAGGAGACCCTGATAAAGAGATTCATCAGAAAAAACACAGCAGTACGAGTAGCTACGGTATTAACTCTGACGCAGTAATCGGAGTAATGAAGGAAAAGAAAATTTATACCATCCTCCCCATTTATGGGGAGGGTCAAAAATTTGAATATCTATGCAGCTCATAAAACACGAAATTAACATCCGATTCCATTCAGACTTGGCATATCTCAATATTTCCATCAACACAAGATTTGCTATAAATATGGTAGGGATCGGACCATTTCTTCTGGTACCTCCCCCACAAAGGGTCAAAATTTTGGATAATCAAAACGATTATAAAATCCGACATTTGCATCCCGTTCTCTCCAAATTGAACACATCACAATATTTTTATTAACCCAAGGTCTGGTGTCAAGATGGAATATATCGGTCCCCTCCTTCTGGTACCTCCCCCACAAAGGGTCGAAATTTTGAATATTCATGAAGCTCATAAAACACGAAATTAACATCCGATTCCATTCAGACTTGGCATAACTCAATATTTCCATCAACACAAGATTTGCTATAAATATGGTAGAGATCGCACCATTTCTTCTGGTATCTCCCCCACAAAAGGTTAAGATTTTGAAAAACCAAAACGATCATAAAATCCGAAATAAGCATCCGGTTCTCTTCAAATTAAACACATCTCAATATTTTTTATTAACCCAAGGTCTGGTGTCAAGATGGAATATATCGGTCCAGTCCTTCTGTGGTACCTTCCCCACAAAGGGTCGAAATTTTGAATATTCATGAAGCTCATAAACGAAATTAACATCCGATTCCATTTAGACTTGGCATATCTCAATATTTCCATCAACACAAGATTTGCTATAAATATGGTAGAGATCAGACCGTTTCTTCTGGTACCTCCCTCACAAAGGGTCGAAATTTGGAATATTCATGAAGTTCATAAAACACGAAATTAACATCCGATTCCATTTAGACTTGGCATATCTCAATATTTCCATCAACACAAGATTTGCTATAAATATGGTAGAGATCAGACCATTTCTTCTGGTACCTCCCCACAAAAGGTTAACATTTTGAAAAACCAAAACGATCATAAAATCCAACATTAGCATCCGGTTTTCTTCAAATTACACACATCGCAATATTTTTATTAACACAAGGTCTGGTGTCAAGATGGAATATATCGGTCCACTCCTTCTGGTACCTCCCCCATAAAGGGTCAAAATTTTGAATATTCATGAAGCTCATAAAACACGAAATTAACATGCGATTCCATTCAGACTTGGATTCGCTCAATATTTCCATCAACACAAGATTTGCTATAAAAATGGTAGACATAGGACCATTCCCTCTGGTACCTCCCCCACAAAGGGTCAAAGTTTTGAATAACCAAAACGATCATAAAATCCGACATTAGCATCCGGTTCTCTTCAAATGAATCCCATTATAATATTTTTATTAACCCAAGGTCTGGTGTGAAAATAGAATATATCGGTCCACTCCTTGTGGTACCTCCCCTACAAAGGGTCAAAATTCTGAGTATTCATGAAGTTCATAAAATACGAAATTAACATGCGATTCCATTCAGACTTGGCATATCTCAATATTTTTATCAACACAAGATCTGTTATAAAGATGGTAGAGATCGGAGCATTTCTTCTGGTACCTCCCCCACAAAATGTTAAGATTTTGAAAAACCAAAACAATCATAAAATCCGACATTAGCATCCGGTTCTCTCCAAATTAAACACATCACAATATTTTTATTAACACAAGGTCTGGTGTCAAGATGGAATATATCGGTCCAGTCCTTCTGGTACCTCCCCCACAAAGGGTCAACATTTTGAGTATTCATGAAGTTCATAAAACACGAAATTAACATCCGATTTCATTCAGACTTGGCACATCTCAATATTTCCATCAACACAAGATTTGCTATAAATATGGTAGAGATCGGACCATTTCTTCTGGTACCTCCCCCACATAGGGTTCAAGGTTTTGAAAAACAAAACGCTCCAAAAAAGTGAAATAAGCATCCAACCATTATTTTTATCTGTATTAGATGAAGTATGAATATCTGCCAATATTAGCCAAATGTATCGGAACCTCCCCCATAAAGGGTTAACAGTTTGAATAATTATAACACAAGGCTGAGCCTATACATCTATCGGCAAAACCGACCGATACTTTTTTTCTTTTTATACCCTACACCACAAGGTTAGGTTAGGGTATTATGTCTTTGTGCATTTGTTTGTAACAGGCAAAAGGAAACGAGATTGACCCATAGTTCCTTTTGATGATCTGCATAGAATCACATTCGATTATGCTTGTCCGTCCGTCCGTCTGTCCATGTATTTTTGTAAAAAAAGTACAGTTCGCATTTATTATCCTTTCCAGATAAAATTTTGCACAAATCATTTGTTTGGCCCAAGAACGAACCCTATTGAAATTGGAGGTAAGCGGTTAAAATATATATATAGCTCCCATATATATGCAAGAAATACACTTGCTAAATTTTATCGAGATCGGTTCAGATTTGGATATATCTCCCATATATAACTTCTTCCGATTTACATTTTATTGTGCACCAAACGTCTAATATTTGCCCAAAAGGGATGAAATTTGACACTTACGACCGAATTGAGTCTAGAAGCTAGTATGTCAAATTTGCCGAAGATCGGTTCAGAAATAGCTATAGCTCCTATATATACTGTTCATCCGATTTGTTATATTTGTTACCCACAGCCGTAATATGCACTCCGTAACAACGATATTCAGGGAAATATATCAAATACAGCTCAGAAATATCTTTGCCAAATGTTATCGAGATCGGTTCCGATTTGAATATAGCTCCCATATATATCTTTATCCGATTTCAAATTAATTGTATGATTGAATTCTCCCATAAAAACTTTTAATTGTTATGTGGAGCTCTACTAAATTAGCAAAGTGGTGTAGGGTATCATAAAGTCGGCCCCGCCCAACTTTAAGACTTTCTTTACTGTTTTTTTTTTAATGATTTTTACAAATTTTTTATTTTCGACGTTTTTATGAAACATTTTTTGCTCAATATTTCTTTTTTTATAATCTTACTTCTCAAACACACTATGCACCTAATCCTACTTCCTGAACCAAACTAATTCATATTATAATAATTCTACCAAATTACAAAAAAAAAAAAAAAAATAGAAATATTTATATACTCCTTTTTAGAATTTATATATATTTAAAAGAAATATACAAAAAAAAAACAAAGAAAAAAAATTTTTTAAAACCCAAAAATCATAGAAAAAAATATTCTCTTTTTCTAGTTAAAAAAAAATACTAATGATCAACAAAACTTGTTATGTGAACAAACTACCTTTTTCAAAAACATCTTTTTAAAAGAAGCAAAAACAAAAACTTTAAATTACACAACATTGAAGGACGCAATTGAGAAAATCAAATTAATGCAAAAACAAAAAAAAAAAAAAAACTACAAGTATTCATAATTCTCTCTTTTTCTATATGAACCAAAAACAAACAAAAAAATTATATACATATATCAATATGACTTCCATATATTTTTTTTTCAAAAAAAAAAAAAATCAAATCACAACTCTTTTTTATTGCATAGCAGCATATTTTCTTACATACCTACATACTACACACACACATATGAAAATTTAAAAATCAACCTGATTTGTTATCAATTCTAAATTTGTATTTACACACATAAATTGATTACAAATATAAAAATATTGCGAATTTCTAGGGCATTTGTTGAACATGCATACACATACATATTTACCAATTTGTTTTGGAAATTCAACAAAACAATAAACACTGTCTGTTTGTATTCTATTATTGTTAGCCCAGATATTTATAAACAAATACTTTACTAGCAAAGCGCTCACTTGACGGCATTGTTTACAGATATAAGACAGATAACCGTATACATAAATATATACAAATATTTTCCTATTTATACCCTACACCACAAGGTGGTCAGGGTATTATGTCTTTGTTCATTTGTTTGTAACAGGCAAAAGGAAACGAAATAGACCCAAAGTTTCTTTTGATGATCTGCAAAGAATCACATTCTGAGTCGATTTATGCATGTCCGTCCGTCCGTCCGTCTGTCCAAGTATTTTTGGGAGCAAAGTACAGTTCGCATTTATTACCCAATCCAGATGAAATTTTGCACAAATCATTTGTTTGGCCCAAGGACGAACCCTATTGAAATTGGAGATAATCGGCAAAAAATTTAGATATAGCTCCCATATATATCTTCGTCCGATTTGCCTTTTATTTTGTGCACCAAACGTGTAATATCAGCCCGAATAGTATGGAATTTTGCACATACAACCAAATTAGGCCTAATAATAAGTATGCCAAATTTGATCGAAATCGTTTCAGATATAGCTATAGCTCCAATATATATTGTTCATCCGATTTAATATTTTTGGTCCTCCGCAGCCGTAATATGCACTCTGTAACAACGATATTTGGGGAAATATATCAAATACAGCTCAGAAATACCTTTGCTAAATTTTATCGAGATCGGTTTGGATTTGGATATGTCTCCCATATATAACTTCGTCCGATTTAGCTTTTATTGTGCACCTAACGTGTAATATCAGACCAAATGGCATGAAATTTGGCACTCACGACCGAATTGAGTCTAGAAGTTAGTATGTCAAATGTTGGTGAAGATCGGTTCAGATATAGCTATAGCTCCCATATATATTGTTCATCCGATTAGTTATATTTGTTAACCACAGCCGTAATATGCACTCCTTAACAACGATATTCGGCGAAATATATGAAATACAGCTCAGAAATACATTTGCTAAATTTTATCGAGATTGGTTCAGATTTGGATATATCTCCCATATATAACTTCGTCCGATTTAGCTTTTATTGTGCACCTAACGTGTAATATCAGACCAAATGGGATGGAATTTGGCACTTACGACCGAATTGAGTCTAGAAGCTAGCATGTCAAATTTGGTGAAGATCGGTTCAGATATAGCTATAGCTCCCATATATATTGTTCATCCGATTTGTTATATTTGTTACCCAAAGCCGTAATATGCACTCCTTAACAACGATATTCAGGGAAATATATGAAATATAGCTCAGAAATATATTTGCGAAATTTTATCAAGATCGGTTCAGATTTGGATATAGCTCCCATATATAGCAAATAGGTAATACAAGTCCGAATTTAAAAGATACAAATGCTTCGGCATATTTAGTACTTTGAACTTTAAATTATAATTATATTCACAGCGTGTGTGATTGAATTGTCGCATAAAAACTTTTTATTGTTATGTGGAGATCTACTAAATTAGCAAAGTGGTGTAGGGTATCATACAGTCGGCCCCGCCCGACTTTAAGACTTTCTTTACTGGTTTTCGTTCTTTATTAGATACTTGTTAGCCAATACGTTTGGAACATTGGAAGGAATACATCCCAATCATAGATGTCGTAGCATAAAAGAAAGTGAACCGATTTCAAAAATGTAAACCATTGATAAATTGTGACAACCTGAATCCTAGGCACGTTTTGACGTCGAGTCGAAATAACGGTTTTAGACCCTAGGTCTCTTTGGACTAAATCCGTTTCAGGACATTTGGAGTTGAACTAGCGATGTCCGTCCGTATCAGATTTGATCCAAACTTGGTACATCGTAATATTTTCGTCAAACTTATATCGAGTTTGGAGATGGGCAATATCGGTCTACTCCTTCTGGTACCTCACCCATAAAATTTCAACATTTTCAAATAATTTACTGCACAGAAAAAGAAAGCATTATTCAATTTTACTCCAACTTCGCATATCGTAATATTCGCATCAGTGCTAGGTCAGGTGCGAAAATGGACAATATCGGTCCAGTCCATCAAGTACCTCCCCCACAAAGGGTCAACATTTTGGATAATTACAATTCTTATAAAATTTGATGTAAGCGTCCGATTGTCTTCAAATTTCACACATCCCAATAATTTTATTAACCCAAGGTCTGGTGCTAAGATGGAATATACCGGTCCGCTCCTTCTGGTACCTCCCCCACAAAATTTCAATATTTTCAAAGAAAATAATTTACTGCACAGAAAGAAAAAGGATAATTCAATTTTGTTCCAACTTTGCATGTCCTAATATTTGCGTCAGTTCTAGGTCAGGTGCAAAAATGGATAAGATCGGTCCACTCCATCAAGTGCCTCCCCCACAAAGGGTGAAATTTTTGAATAATTATAATAACTCTTATAAAATGTGATGTAAGAATCCGATTGTCTACAAATTTCACACATCCCAATAATTTTATTAACCCAAGATCTGGTGTTAACATGGGATGTATCGGTCCACTCCTTCTGGTACCTCCCTCACAAAAGGTCGAAATTTTTAAAATATTTATCTTTTGCACAGAAAGTGAAACGATAATCCGATTTTGCTCCAAATTTGCAAATCCTAATATTTGCGTCAGTTCTAGGTCAGGGGCGAAAATGGTAAATATCGGTCCACTCCTTCTGCTACCTCCCCCACAAAGGTTCAAAATTTTAAATAATTTCAACTCTCATAAAATGTGAAATATGAGTCCGATTGTCTTCAAATTTCACACATCGCAATAATTATATAAACCCAAGATCTGGTGTTAAGATGGAATATATCGGTCCACTCCTTCTGGTACCTCCCTCTCAAAAGCTCGAAATTTTTAATATCCATTAATCCAATAAATCTCGAAATCACCATCCAATTGCATTTAGACTCTGAATATTTCCATCCACACAAGATGTGTTATAATGATAGTAAAGATCGGAATACTCCTTCTGGTACCTCCCCCAGAAAGGGTGAAAGTTTTCAATAGCCAAAACGATCATAAAATCCGAAAAAAAACATCCAGTTCTCTTCAAATTAGACATATCACAATATTTTTATTAGCCCGAGGTCTGGAGTACTCCTTCTGGTACCTCCCCCACAAAGGCTCAGCATTTTTAATATCCTTGAAGATCATAAAACGTGAAATGAACATCCGATTCCATTCAGACTTGGTACATCACAATATTTTCATCAACACATTATAAAGAAGTAGAGATCGAGCGATTTCTTTTGGTTCCTCCCCCATATAGGGTTCAATATTTTGAAAATTTTACACATACAAACAATTTTGTCAACAAACGATCTGTTGTGAAAATGACCACACCTTTCTTGGTATGAGGTGTAGTTGTGATAAAATGTGCTCAGTAGGCCACTTCGTATAATTATAATATACACTTCCAAAACCACCTCCATATGTCCATGTATAGGAACTCTAATATCAAATTTCACATTTTCAGCACTATTTCTTCACCCAATATCAAGTTGTACCAAAATATAGTAACATTTAGGACTTTTCAAACAAGTATTTCCAAAACCAACACCAGATACCAACAAAATCTCAATACCTAATTTCGGGATTTCAGCTCCATGCATTAACTACATACCATTTCGTACTTTTCAAACAATTATAGTACAAACCATCTCCATTTCTTAAACAACAGACACCAACGGTGACATCTATAACAAATTTCAAGATTTCATCCCTATCCCGTCACCCAATACCCAATTTAGTACTTATCGTACAATTATAGTGCAAATTTGCAAAGCCACCACCAGATACCAATATAGTCCTCAATATCAACATTCGGGATTTCAACTCTATACATTTACTTAATACCAAATTGCAGCATTTAGTACTTTTCGTATAATTTTAGTACACCCATCAATTGTAGCTATCAAGAGATACCTCAAAATAAAATTTGAGGATCCAGTCCTATCCCTTTAGGAAATACCAAATTTAGTACCATTTAGTACTTTTCATATAAATATGGAAGGCATTTCCAAACCATCTCCAAATCGTAACATCAAATACCATCAGTAAGTACCAGTTTGTACTTTTCAAGCAATTATAGCACACATTTCCAAAACCACTTCCATATCTCAATTGCAGCTACCAACAGATACCTCAATATCAAATTTGAGGATTCCAGCTCTATCCCGTCACCCAATACCCTATTTAATACAACTTAGTACTTTTTGAACAGTTTAAGTACACATTTCTAAAACCACATCCAAATGTCAGCCTCAGACACCATCTAAATGTCAAATTTCAGAATTTTATCTCTATCCCTTCATCCAATACCAAATGTAGTACCATTCAGCACTTTTCGTTC